GTAAGTCTCTCTCTCATAAAATACTTATAGGACTGCAGTTCTAACCATTCACTTTACCAGGTAGGAACTGTTTTTCACCTAACATTTTAAGAATATTGTGTAACTTTACAGTTTTTTAATGAGTAATATTCATATTGAGTCGAGGGTGAAATTGGAGTCATCTGAAAGTCACAGATTTCGCCTGATTAATTAACTTTATTTAAATATTAACTTTTGAGAATTACAGAGGTAAGTCAGATGAAGTTTGAGTGTGAGCGTGAGTCATGCCAGAAATGAGTGACTGTAAATTTGAGTCAGGTGAGGAATGAGTTTTTGCGATGGAAGTGATGCTTAAAGACTGATATACCCAGAGTGAGTGATGGTGCAAGCATCAGTCACTCTGTAATTGCAGGCACCTCGCCTGCAATTACATTAGCCAATTATATTGAAAATGGTATAAAATACCGACAAGTTAATGATTAAGACACATGTGCAACAGTTAGGTATCTTGCCTCTGTATTTGATTGAAGAAGTCTACTATGTAGGCGAAACGTTTCAACAATAAAGATACCTAATTGCTGCACATGTGTCTTAATCATCAACATTATTCACTAACAATAAAGGGTTCCAACAAAAGTAAATGAGTAAATAAGCCACTTTGACCTTTTTGGGGTTATCCTAGTTAATTTACACTATATATGATAATTGTGTTATGTGTACCTGTGCCTAAATAACCTTAGGCGAGTCAGGAGAAGTGTGACCACAGCAAGGTGAAAGCTACGACATGAATTTCTTAATCGAAGGGTTAGAGAGAAATGTTAGCAGAGAAATAGAGGAGAAAATCAGTTTGATTCAGGCGCAGAGGGAAGGGACCAGGTAATGGGATATACAAGCTAAGAGGGGAGGTGAAAAGATGGAGACAAAATGAGCAGGTAGATGCTGGGGAAGGGGAATCTGAAAAGAGAGCTAGGGACAGTAAGGAAACACACTCAGAGTTGATGATTGAAACACTTGTGCAAACACTTGTCTCAGTCATCAACTTGTCGGTTCTCTGAACCATTTGTCTACAATCAGAGTTAATGAAAACAACAGAGATGGTAATGCAAAAAATACAAGAAAAAGAGGAGGCTGTTTTGATCCGGTTCATGAAGGGCGAGTCTTAAGAATCATGAAAGATTGATGCTGTCTGTGATGACTTTTAGACTGCCTAAGAGCAAGGGGCCACAAAAAATGACCAAAGGGAAGAAAAAAATATAAAAGAAAACCTGTTAATAGATGCAGGAACAGAAAAGACAATAGATGAGCTGACAAATATTTTCATAATAATGATATTTTCTGAAGAACAACAGCGAGAGGATCACAACCTAAACATGATATCATATATTGGGACTTCATGCGAGTAGGACAGGATACTTCTGCACAGAGACGTGTCATAAGAGGAAAGAAAAGGAATGGAGATACGGTCATAAGAGGAAATAAAAGGAACAAGGATAACGTGGGCGACATAGAAAAACAAGAGGCGCTTCAGTCATTTCCTCTGAATGTAACATTTCCTACCCTCTCTCTCTCTCTCTCTTACTCACTCACTACCATAGTATTAGCAGAGTACAGTGGCCTCACTCACACAACACTTGCCCATACAAGGTTGGAGTTCCTCTAGACAATGGCAACATCCCGCGGGGAAATTACACCTGCCAATTTTTACCTCTCCTGACGAGGTAACTTTTCAACGTCAGAAAATAGATGAAATTTTGTTTGTTTGGTCTTACAGTTGTTTAATATTTGGTTTTACAGCTGTTTAGTGTTTGATTTTACAGCCGTTACATGTTTCTTTTTACAGTTTTTTAAATGTCTAGTAACTACATGTGCTGCGTTTTCTTTTCTTCTCAATGTTTAAATTATTAAAATTATTTTTTATTTTATTTGTATCTGCAGTCAGTAAGCTATGTGTGTATGTACGTGCAGGTGTGTGCAGGTGTTCTGGTGCAGTGGGTATGTGTAAGTGTTTTATTGTAGTGGGTGTGTGCAGGTGCACTGGGACTGTTACAGACGTGGCATTGTGGTTAGCTATGGTCAGCTGTTTGTGATCAGCTGTTTGGCCAGCTGTTTATGATCAGCTGTTTGGCCAGCTGTTTATGATCAGCTGTTTGGCCAGCTGTTTATGATCAGCTGTTTGGTCAGCTGTTCATGTGATCAACTGTTCCTTTCATCACCCTTACCCCTTCTCTCTCCCCCCCCCATTCTTACACCTACTTCCCCTCCATGCACCTACTCCTCCACACTCCTACTGTCTCGACTTTGTCATGTGTAAGAACACTCCAGCACCTACTGGAAGTATTCAGGAGTTGGATAAAAGACATCCGTGTACCTAATGGTGTTAATTAAAAACGAAAACACACATTTTCTTCTCCTCTCCCCTCTTTTCTCTCCTCTCTTCTCCCCTCCGTTGCCAAACCTTCTTTCTATAATCTCCCTCTCCTGCACCGCGTCCCTTCGCTAGCATCAGGTGAGACACATCTTGTTAAGGCAATTCCCACCTGGTTAATTGATTTCCGGTGAATTAATTAGTCGCTAAGGATCAGTGGGGCTCCTGCGTCCCTACCTCAGTGCACTATCATCAGTGTAATGATAATAATGACAAGTAGAAATCTACCTTAAATATTTTATTATCACACTGGCCGATTCCCACCAAGGCAGGGTGGCCCGAAACAGAAAAACTTTCACCATCATTCACTCCATGACTGTCTTGCCAGAAGGGTGCTTTACACTACAGTTTTTAAACTGCAACATTAACACCCCTCCTTCAGAGTGCAGGCACTGTACTTCCTTAAATGAACCTTTAAATATTATAATTCTCTAACCAGAACTTCTCAGTGACGCTCCCATCACCTATCAGAAATGCACTGCATGCTAGTTCCGGTCCTTTGTGCTTAACAATATTTTATTACATGTAAACTACATTTTGTAATACTGTAGACAGAAATGAAGTTTATTTTGTCTAGACCTGTGGTACTCAATATGTGGGCCGCGGAACTCCCCTGGGGCCGCTCCTCCGTCTTTTCTCTTTGAGGTGTTCCAATTGCCCAGGTTATTAGCACCCCGGTGGGAGGCTGAATTATTCCAAGCGTCGCTGCAAGTAACTCTCTTCCTGCCACCGATTGATTTTCTCTGTTAATGGAGCCTAAAATTACAACCGCTAGCATGTGGGGGTCCGCGATTTTTTTTTTTTTTTTGAGGGGTGAACCGGTGGTGCTCCAGCTGGAAAATGTTTGGAAGCACTAAGCTAGAATACTGTTAGGCTGAAGCCTGTACTAGAGTGAAGGTACAGACACATCTAACAGATCGAGCCTTCATTGGTGTGTATGTATCTGCGTGTATACACAGGTATGTATCTGCATGTATACACAGGTATGTATCTGCGTGTATACACAGGTATGTATCTGCGTGTATACAATTATGTATTTGCGTGTATACGCAGATATGTATCGGCGTGTATACATAAGAACATAAGAAAGAAGGAACACTGCAACAGGCCTACTGGCCCATGCGAGGCAGGTCCATGTCAACACCCGGTTTAGACCAATGGCCCACCCAGTCAGGTCACCTCCACTTAAGGAAGGAGCACGGAATCTGACCCAGTATCACCAGTTAGTCAGGTCCAACTCACACCCACCCAAACCCACTCATGTATTTATCTAACCTATTTTTAAAACTACACAACGTCTTAGTTTCTATAACGGTACTCGGGAGTTTGTTCCAATCATCCACAACTCTATTACCAAACCAGTGCTTTCCTATATCCTTCCTGAATCTGAATTTTTCCGGCTTAAAAACCATTGCTACGAGTCCTGTCTTGGCTAGATATTTTTATTACGCTATTTACATCCCCTTTTTTTATTTCTGTTTTCCATTTATACACCTCAATCATATCCCCCCCTAATTCTACGTCTTTCTAGAGAGTGCAGATTCAGGGCCCTCAGTCTATCCTCATAAGGAAGATTTCTGATACATGGGATCAACTTTGTCATCCTCCTCTGTACGTTTTCCAGTGCATTTATATTCATTCTGTAATACGGTGACCAGAATTGTGCAGCATAATCTAAATGAGGCCTAACCAAGGATATATAGAGTTGAAGAACAACCTGAGGACTTCTATTATTTATGCTTCTTGATATGCAGCCAAGGATTCTGTTAGCTTTATTGCGGACGTTTATGCACTGTTGTCTTGGTTTCAGGTTACTGCTAACCAGAACTCCTAAATCCTTTTCGCAATCAGTAATATTAAGATCTACATTATTTAGTTTATATATAGCATGGTTATTATCCTTTCCAATATTTAAATACATACAGAGGTATGTATCTGCGTGTATACACAGGTATGTAACTGCGTGTATACATATGTATGTATACAAAGAGGTGTGTATTTCTCAAGTTATATATAAAAGTGACTTGAGAGCTCAGTGATGACATCTTCGGCTCACAACAGAAGTACCCAGGTTCAATCCAAGAGCGTCCCTCTGAACGAATCTTCTGAGAACTCTTACTCATTTCTGCAACACCTCAAGCTCCTGATGACGTTGATTGCAACACGAAAGGCTTAGAACTGTCATCATCTCCTGTGGTTGTTTTGCACAGATACGTATATAGGTAACAGTTTCCTATAATCTCTGTTTTAAGAGATGACAGGCTGTAGCTACTTCCACGAACAACATTTTTTTTATCGTTATTTGGTGAGGATCAGAAAAGGTAGTTTGTGCGAGGGGTGAATCAGATGACTTCTTGGAAAATGTCAGAGTACCGTGGATAAAGAGGATGCTTGAGTTACTGTTGGAAGATAGGAAGGAAAGGGTGACAGTGTTACTGTTGGAAGATAGGAAGGAAATTGTTCCAGTGTTACTGTTGGAAGATAGGAAGGAAATTGTTCCAGTGTTACTGTTGAAAGATAGAAAGGAAATTGTTCCAATGTTACTGTTGGAAGATATGAAGGAAAGGGTTCCAGGGTGACTGCTGGAATGGATGCA